ATAAATGTTTTTAAATTTTGATTTGAAATGCTCTCCACCCTCCGGAGTGCAAAAAGAGCCAGTGTTCAGTCACTGTAACTCGACAGCTTTTAATTTCAGTTTAAATAAAAATAAAAGATTAAAACATTTGAAAAAGTGGCCATCGTGTTAACAAGATATCACATAGAAACTGAAAAAAGTTTTGAATCTTGAAACTCTTTTATTCCGGAGAATAATACTACAATAATCCTCTAATCGAAGTTGCAGTCGTGTTGGCAAATAAGTAAGCACTTGCACTATTTCGGTTTCGAACCCAAGTTAAAAAACGTTTAATAATTTGATTCAAAATTTCTTTTTTTTATCTTTTCACCTTACCAATCCGTCAACGACGGTTTTTCCTTTCCTTCATCAATTTCTTCATTTTTGAAAAAGTAATTAAAAAGCAAATACACCACTGAAAAGGATATTAAATGGTGTACGTTTTCTGAAGTTTGGTGGTCCCTAGGTTCGGAAATAGTAATTTACAATCACTATAGTAAATTTTTCAACTTTGACAAAAAATTCACCATTTTTCGTGGTCCGCTTGACCAATTAAAAATGGCAAAAAGGAGGGACAATTCAAAAGGTGGGGTTGAGATGGGAAGTTAGTGCCCGAGGGGATCGAAGTCACGATCTCAAGTGGTAGAGTAGCGGCGTATCAAGCCCGGAGGTCGTGGGTTCGAATCCCGCTCGTGACACTGACTTTTTTATCTCAACTTAAAACCTTAATTATTTGACAAAAAATTATTTTGCAAAGTTCTCGCTACTTATCTCACTAAGGTTTAAAAATTTAATATTGATCATATCTTATTGGAAATTTAACGTAGTTTTCAATGGTATCGACGGATTTGTCGAAAACCTTTTAGTTTTGGCGTTATCATTGTTTATTTGACCAAGTTCTTGAAATCTTAAAAAATCAAAAAAGGGGAATAACTGCGAAACTTTTGAGATTCGGATCATACTAATTTAATAAGGACTTATTAGTTTCATTTTGAATGGAGAATCTACTGGCAAAGTTTGTAACACGAGTAGCCGAACACCCTGTATACATGTACATATATAAATACACATATTTAACAAATTTTGAATTAATAGGAAAATCTTTGGTTTTAAACTTTTGATTTTAATTGTAATTAATTTCATGTGATATTTTAGATAAAAACCAACTTTAATTTTTTAAATTCTAAAATTGTAAGTAATTCTATATTTTGGTTTAATTTTATATAAATATTAATTTTAATTTATTTTCATAAGTCATCTAAGAGCCCAATTATTTTATATAAAAAAATTTCATATATACAGGAATTTTTCTTTACACATTGTACCTCTCCGGCAAGAGATTAAACTGCGTCCATGTACGTCTACCGTACCTGATGGCCTTCCTTAACTCCCCATCCTCTTACTAATCCCATAACCTTCTTACCTTTCATTCCCATAACAACCCACCCCCACACTAATCTTTTCCCTTTTCCCATTCCAAGCGTCCTAGGGTTCTGGGATGGGGAGGTGTGCCATTTTTAAAACACTGCTGCACTAAAATATCTAAAATTGATTTAAGTATCAATACAATTAACGGTTAAATGAACAAATCTCTCACGAAAATTGATTTAAGCATCCAAAAATTTCACAGTTGTTTCGAACTGACGTTTATATTTTACGAATGTTATCCCATTAAGGGGAAAAACAGCAAATTCAGGCACATATCCGATATTTTTGATTTGTATTTTCTATTTTATTAATCAAATAATCTTGTATTAAATCTATTAACAAAGGAAGCTTACTAGAGATTCATTGCGGTTTTTAAACATTCGGCTATTGGTGGAATTGCTTAATTATTTTTATATTTAACGTTGAATCATCATGAAAATGTTTTCATGTTTTTCATAAGCCGACAAAAGATTTCTGTGTATGTTTATAATTTTTCAGTTCACCTCACGTATGTACATTTATAAAATCTTTTTGAAATATACAATGCATCTTCCATCTTTAATGGTCGAATCAGAAAATGGCAAAAAAGTCCTGTTAAATCTATCTTTCAAAGTATTTGGTTATTGTAAAATAACCACCGTACATTGTTTTCCGAGTCTGAAGATGATAAAATTTTTTAAACTTAAATCATTTTTCCATAATTGAAGACGTTTCGTGTCTGCAAAATACCGGCATTACGTACCTGGTCTATCAGTATTAATTAATACAGGCTCTACTGATAATTGTCAAAAACGAGTCGCCTTTAATGCTGGAAAACGCCTTTTTTTAAACTAAACAAAACCTTAACAAAACGGTACAAAGTTAAAAGAACTTGGAAAGATGAAATGTATATATATTACGCAGGGCGGGCGACCAAGTCCCGAGGGGTTAAATGCCTGGGTAGACTCGTACCCCATCCATAATGGCTTAATAATCATAATTTAGGCAGTGTGCAAGGATTGGCTATCTATGTTTTCGCACGGGCAATGTCTACAATCCAATCAACTGCCTTAGAAACAACAACAAACCTACTTCCATTGGAAACATCTACAAAAGGAGAAACTAGAAAAGAGCTCATACAGACTCGAAAAACACATAAATTGGGCGGGGACTAATCAATTCGGGCATACAATAATTATAAATAAAATCAGACATATGCCTAGAAATTGAGATTGATCGTATGATTCTTGAAATATACTTTACAACATGTTATAAAGCCTTAACAAACTACAAAGATAACAGTAGTGCAATACACAGACAGATTCAAAACTAGTGAAGTTCGTCAAGCTTAAAATATTATTCACAATAAAACAATAAGAATATTTTGGATGTAGAATATGTAACACAAAATGAAATTCTTGGCTACGAACGAAAAGTCTTTACCTTGCCAGAAAGGCAGTAGGTTTTAGATGTACTAGCTACAATGCAGTACTTACTCCTCTATCCTTTGGAAGTTTTCTTTTTTAAGGATGATTCCTAAAACTCTTGAACTTACTCTCCTCTGGATGTTTTGGACAAATTCTACAAAAGCTTCTAAGGCAACAAAACCATTCCTGAACAAAAATGTGAACTTCCGAAGCTCCGATGCGACTGTTCACCAGCTTACAGAGGCCATTGTTACCTCTTAGAGTAACGCTCGATTGCTATTTCCATGTCACCTTAAGATCCCCATTTATATTGTCCGACCAGGAGTCATACAAGGGCGCACACTTGCTCCTCTACTACACTCAATTTATATGGCTTGACTAGAAACAACAACCTTGGCCTTCACTGACAGTAATCCTGTCTTCCCACAACGATCTACAGACGGAGTAAAACTCATGGGGGTTATGTACCGATTACTAGTGACTGAGAAAACCCCTCCACAATGACCCCATTTTCGGTTATGCAATAACGGGGAAGAAACTGCCACAAATGTAAAACAACCGCTCAATGGTCCAAACAACTTAGCAGAAGACTTGAGCAGCTATGAACACTTTTAGGACCGAAATTTGACCTTAGGAACGCAAATGCCTCTGTAAAAAAAATCACTGAAACCACTTTGAACATTCGTAGTGGAACTGTATGATTCCGCCAAGATATCCAATATACATTGGATCCATTCCTTCTAATCCAAAGTCTTCAGATAATTGTCAAAGCTACTAAGTCGCTTACCAAGTTAATCTCAACTACCTCTCTGCTGCATATCAATAACAAGGAGCTACCGACTTCAATTTAAATCAGATACTAAGGACTACACCAGTCAGCAGACTAACGTGAACTTTCCACACAAATTAACAGAAGACTTGGACAATTACGAAGTCCTTTAAGACCGAAATTTGTTTTTGCGGTCAAACCACAACTAACTCTGTACAAGTATTTACTGCGACCGCTATGGACATATGCAGAACGGTGTGGTTTCAGGCGGATCCAATTCATCAAGTCCATAATCTTCAGATAAATTGCTACAACGCAAGTTACCATACTAACCTCAATGACCTCAACATTTATTTTTTTCAACTAGCTGATCTGTTTGATCTGTTCGAGCTTCTCCACACCATGCTAACAATCAATCCTAACTAGTGCCCAAGCTTTACTTAAACTTTCCCAACATGGAAACCCACCGTATCGCCTCAAACGACGACGGGCTCGAATTGTTCGTAATAACGAAAGGTGAAGGGAACATGATATTTGGTTAATTTAACTTATTCCATGTATTTCAAGTAGATCGTTATGTTTTTATTCCTTCGTCTCTGGCTAGTTGAATCTATCAAATGCCACCCGTGCACAAAGGTGAAACAGCATCTCTATAAAAATCTCGAAGATAGGTCAGATGCCGCGATCTATTTTTAGATTTTCATCGGCTGGAATCGATAAGTCGAACGAGTTTTCACATTTCGTGCGTTGTACTATGGAAAGGATAGGTGAAATATTCACGACCCTACTGAAGGACAATTAAGTAAAAGGTAAATTGAGAGGGCATTAACAATTCACAGGTCTCATGTCGTACGATCGTTATTGATCATCTTTCTAGGTGCACCGATTCCTTTGAGTTTTCTTTATTTTCGTCATTACTGGAGAATCGGATTTTCTCTTTATTTTTAAACGCTTGAATCATACAACTGGATATTTTCCCCCGTCTGTCTGTCTCTTTGAAGAAACTCACCAATTGGTGTGTAAGTTTTTCATCTATTTGGAAAAAAGAAATACTTAGATTAAAGTTTTTTTAAAGTGAAGATAGTGAGTTTCTAGACAGATCAGAAACAGTTGATAGAAACCGTCTTCGTGATGCTTTAAACGAAGATTAATTAAGTTATCGATTAAGAGCACGTGTGTCAAACCTCCCGGGTCGCGCCAACTGTCGACTTCAAAGTTATTACTTTTAAAATAAATGACAATAGGAATAAACAAGGGTGAAATAGAATGTTAGTGCTAAATGTGCAATGTCAATGTTTGCCCACAGATAAATTATTTATCGCATGTTGTGTGTTGATGACTAGTATGCGACCAGCCTAATTTGACACTTATGTTTTTAGAATGAAGTTGAGCGTGTCGGCGTTTCGCGCTCACGCTTCAGCGCACAAGAAGATTCTCAACTCGACCTATCAGAGCACCCTTAACTATGGTGCTACCTGCAGTACGTCACACCAGGTATTTTCACAGAAAAAAAAACACAACAAACTTTGCCATTACAGAGATTTAGCAAACCGTCTATTTATGTGGGCTGGTGAAATTGAAATAAAAATTATCTTAGGAAATGCTATAATAAAAGAATGAAAACATATTTTTTATGCAATTTTTTAAAAATTGGTACACAAAATTTTTTGTTATATACTATACTATGCTGTACAATATACTAGATTATATATACTACACTATATATATTGTATATACTATATAATATACTACTAATACTATACTGTATATACCAAACTATAGTATAACTATAAACTTATAAAAAACTAAACTAATAAAAAACTATAGTTATATATACTAATTACTACTATAAAATCATTTGATTCTTCTTTAATTTGAGATTTTTTAAAATATAAAATAATTGGTCAATAAAATAATTATACATTTTAAAAACATTTCGAATTAATAAAAGAATCATTAGTTTTATATTTGATTTTAAACTTTTGATTATAGGGGCGACGGTGGCCGTAACGGTTATGTTAAAGCTCGATACTGCAAGGTAAAAGTCCCTGGTTCGAATCCAGCGGCCCTGCATTCGAACCCAACATACTTACAAATCGGCTTTTTTTCAAAAACGCTGGCACCTTAATTGTTTATCCTCGTAGATGAAATATCCTTGAGAATTTTTTTAAAACTTTAATTGCAATTAATTTTCATGAGATATTTTAGATAAAAACGAACTTTACAATTTTTAATTCTAAACTTATTAATTTTGTAATAACATTTTATATAAATTTTAATTTTAATTAGTTTTCATATAATCTTCTAAGAGCACAATTTTTTTATATTTGAAAATGAAAAATAGTTAATTTGACGGAAAAGCTGCATATGGTGCTGCAGATCCTTTGGCCAGTTATTCTGGTTTTTCATTACTCAACTTTGCGTCTTGGCAAGCAAGATATTTTAAATTATTTTTAACTCTAAATTATTCTACTTCACTTTTAAATTGACTCTTTTTAATTTAAAATTAACGTTTTCTAATTTAAAATTAACAATTTTTAACTTCAAATTGTTCTACTTTACTTTTAAATTGACTGTTTTTTATTTAAAATTAACAATTTTTAACTTCAAATTGTTCTACTTTACTTTTAAATTGACTGTTTTTTATTTAAAATTAACAATTTTTAACTTCAAATTGTTCTTCATTACTTTTAAATTGTCTCTTTTGAATTTCAAATCAACCCTTTATTTACTGACTGTCTAGTTTTGGTCGTGAAACAGCAAAATGTAGAATAAAAAGATGGAATGACGGAAGAATCCAGAACAGTTCTGAAAGAGCGGTGATTGAAAGCGAGGGCAGGCGGCCGGGAGATAATTAACCAGAAGGAAGTCTAGCTCGGTTCGATAAAGGTGGCCAACTGGAAGAGCAGATATCGGTGTAATTGCTCATTGAGAAATACGAACTATTGTCCCGCGGTTCGCGATTAATTCTACAAAAATTACAATTTGGGCCGATTCGGCCAGACAAAAAATTTCAACCGACAGAAACGAAATCAAACCCGTTAGGTAAAAATTCCGAGATTTGTGTTACACCGACGTAAGATATCTTATGGCTTATTAACCTGGTGGACTAAAGGGGTAATGAAAACAACTCTACGAGAACACTACTACGAGGACTCCAGACCACAGGACAATTGGATGAGGTCTAACCAATTCAGGCACACAACAATAACAAATGAACCCATTCATAGAAAGTGAGACTGATTATATGATCCCGGAATCATCTTTTGTAAGATCCCATAAATTCTTAACAGACTGCAAAGTTTGAGAAGACATGATGAGATAAAAAATATGATATACTGATAGATTCAAAACCAGTGAAGGTCGTCTGGTATATTCTGTGCAAGCCTAACATATGAACAATCAAACTCATTAGGAAAGTACAATTCGATCTTTCAAGATGAAATATAGGCAATCATGCTCGGGCCATAGAGAAATCTTAAAAGAGTTTATACTGACATAACAAAACACAACAAACATCCTCAAAAGATCAGACAACCAAGCAGCCATTTAAACACTAACACGTGGAATGTTCACGTAACGAAATAGTCAGTGAATGCGTGCAAATTCTCTAAAATGTGGGAAAAGGCAACAACCTGATTACATCTTTTTGCTGCCAGGACACAAAAGTGTTTTGTGTAATGAAAAAGCAGGCAAATTGGCCAAAGGATCTGCTAGACAATATACATTGTTTATCCAACAAATTAACTCTTTTAAACTTCAAATTGAACTCTTTAAATTTGAAATTAACCGTTTTAAACTTACAATTCACCTTTTTTTAACTTCAAATTAAACATTTTTAATTTCAAATTAACGTTTTTTTTTAAATATAAAAACTTAGGAGATCGTATAAAATATGACCATGTATAATAAAATTCCTGTGTATTACAATTAATTAAGGTTTTTAGTTGAGATGAAAAAAAGTTTTCCCTCCTTTTGCTATTTTTCAACTCATAAGGTGGGGTTGAGATGGGGAGTTGATGTCCGGGTGGATCGAGGTCACGATAGCTCAGGTGGTAGAGCAGCGGCTTATCAAGCCGAAGGTCGTGGGTTCGAATCCCTCTCGTGCCATTAACTAACTTTTTTTCATCTCAACTAAAAACCTTAATTAATTGTAATGTTTAATTGGTCAAGCGGACCGCGAAATTAGTGAATTAATTTTTTTCAAACATAAAATATTTGCGCTCTTCAAAAACCATATGATAATTAATTATAATTAAAATGAAAATTTATATAAAATTAAATATAAAAATACAGGATTGCTTTTATAATTTGAGAAAAAAATAAAATTGATTTATTATTTATATTGAAAAATAAAATTAATTTATCTATCTACTTCTACACTTCGCATACCTTCGAATTTCACCAACTTTAATTTTCATACTTTAATCTGCTCAAAAAAGAATAAAGATATTGTTATTCTATTAACTTTAATTAAACTAACCGATATATTCTTGTTAGTTGGCTAAAACAAAATAGAAAATACAAACAAATGTTAATCCTCATTTTTAATAAAGTATTTATTTAAGAATAATAAACATGAAGAGAAGTGGGTGCAGCGTTTGAACACCTATGGAGAGAAATTCCTTATCAAATTAGTGGCATCCTTATTAACGGCATGCCCAACAGGTGCACAGAGGTTTTAGCTACAAAGGACATTATACACTGTATTAACTGTTCAAAAAAATTGTTTCCAACAAAAAAATTATGGAATTTAAACCTTTTATTTTGTTATTTTTCAAAAACCCTTAATTAAATTTTCCTTAATTAAATAATCCTAATTAAATTTATATTAAAAATAAATAAAAAGGTTAGGGGAACTAAATAGGTACTACAAAATTGGCTATATTCCTATTCATTTTTGAGCAGTTTAAAATATCACATTGAAATTAATTACAATCAAAATTAAAAGCTTAAAATTATGTATAGAATCTAATGGTTCGATTTTTTAAATATAAAATAATTATTTTATAGGCTAGATAGGTAGATAGATGTAATAATTCAGGGTGTGGTATACTGCGCCCTTTAAGAGCTATTGTATCCCCTGTGCTCTGCCTAAAGCACATCGGTGAGTCCTATTTCATCAAGAAACTTGATTAATAGGCCCGGTTTCAGTGGTTGTAGTTCTTCTATGGTCACATTGTACATCCCAAAACACTTCCTCCTGCGGGCTAGTGTAGCTCCGCAGTTTGTTAGTAAGTGTGTTGGTGTCTCTTCTGCTTCTTTGCAGAATCTACATGTGCCATCTTGGATTATTCCAATTTTCTTTAAATGTCCATTTAATCTACAGTGTCCTGTCAGGAATCCTGTTAGGATTCGCAGTCTGTTCCTGCTTCCTTTGACACATTCTGTGATTTCTTTCTTGCCAAAGTTGGTTAGAAAATTCTTGGATTGTCTGTGTCCAATAAGTGAGTTCCAAAGTTCGCTCATTCTCTTTTTATCCTTCTGTCTGAGGTATTCGTTGATAGTGTGTGTTCCTATTCCACAGAAGGGTTCAGGTCCTATTAGCGGTGTGGCAGCCCCTTTTCTTGCCAGGGTGTCCGCTTCCTCATTACCTTCTACTCCCATGTGTCCTGGGACCCAGCAGAGGCTGACTTTATTCTGCGAGCCTAATGTATTTAATTTGGTTTTGCAGTTCAGCACCATCCTTGAACTAATGGTATTTGAGCTTAGTGCTTTGATGGCTGCTTGGCTATCTGACATGATAGCTATATTCTTGTTTTTGTATCCTTTATTTAGGTTGAATTGGATACATCTTTCAATTGCATGAATTTCTGCTTGGAAGATACTGGTGTGCTTTCCCATGGGTTCTGAGTATTTGGTTCCGGGTCCGAACACTCCTGCCCCCGTACCTTCCTGTGTTTTAGATCCATCTGTGTACCAAAGGATGGTGCCATTTTTGAGGGAGTTATTTCCCTCTCTTTCCCATTCCTTTTTGGTGCCCAGATGTATTCGGAATTTATGGTTAAATTCAAACCTCCTGTTCATGTCGTCTCTTGGAGCCATGAGTGAAGGATGGTTTTTCCACAGTTTGTTTCTGTCTCTCCATTTCAGTTTTATTCCTGTTGGAGGTTTCTCTCTAATGATGTTAATTATAGTTTTCTGTGCTGTCCTTTCTATCATGTGATGTAGGGGGATTAGTCCTAATATCTTTTCCATGCTAATTGTAGGACATGTTCTCATTGCTCCCGTTATGCAGATGCATGCAAGTCTCTGTATTTTTGAGAGTTCTTTCCTTTTGGTTGTTTGTTCCGCTTTATCAGCCCATGCTATGGCTCCGTATGTAAGTAAAGGTCTTACTATCATGGTGTTCATCCATAACAGGGTTTCTGGCCTACATCCCCAGTTTCTTCCTGCCATTCTTCTGCACACCATCATAGCTCGTGTCGCCTTTGTGATGATAGAGCTGATATGTTTCTTAAACGTTAGTGTTTTATCTAGTATGATGCCTAGAT